GTCTGTGCAAGAAACTGAACAGTATTTATATTGTTTTTTACCTCTGATACACTGCAATGTCTGAACAGTCCTGAGCGCGTTCTCAACAGCCGGTGCGTGACGCGTCTTCTTCTTCTTCTTGCTTTGTGGCAGATCGCAGACTTATAAATGCATTACCGCCACCTATCTCTCAAAATGGACCATTGACACTCTATCTACAATCTTAATTAGGAGTGTCAATAGAGCATCACAGGTAAAAAAATGATATAACTACTGTTCAGTTTCTTGCACAGACCGATTGTTTCGTGTCTTTACACATCAATATATCGTCACGAGCTGCAGGGTTTTGTTTGTGTATGTTTTTTTGACTCTCAAAGCCGGGATTCCCATTCACTTCCATTATAAGACTGACAGACTACAACGGTTTGAGTTAAAAATCTTCGTTTGTGTTCTACTGAAGAAACAAAGTCACCTACATCTTGGATGCCCTGGGGGTAAGCAGATAAACATCAAATTTTCATTTTTGGGTGAACTATCCCTTTAAGATGGCAAGATGATTTATCTCTGATTAAATTGCATTTTAATGTTAGAGGATCCAAACAAATGACATAAAGTGAAGATGAAAAAAAAAACTATGTATGTGTGTGTGTCATTAGAAAATTGTAATAAGAACTCTTTAGTACATTCTACATGTAGGTTAATACTGCTGTTTATTACATTTGCTTGAATTTTCTTGCCAGGGATTTGAAGCTAGACAACATTCTGCTGGATGCAGAGGGTCACTGTAAGCTGGCAGACTTTGGCATGTGTAAGGAGGGAATCCTGGAAGGCATCACAACCACAACATTCTGTGGCACACCAGATTACATTGCCCCGGAGGTACAGTATTTCACACTCTCACACACACAAACGCACAGTGATAGTCTCATTTCTACTGCTTGGTTCTCATTAAAGCTATGAAATATTATGTTCATGATCCCTATCATTTTGAAATGGTCAGATATTTATTGTTTGTTTTATTGATCTTTCACTAGTTTTCATATTGTGTTCCTCATTCATAAAGCAAAAGCAGAGATGCTCAGTAAATTGTTCAGAAAATTATTCTTGTGTAATCGACACATTTGAATGCTTTAAGAATGGTTTTATGAATAGTTGTTATGAACATAGACTAATGTTTTGTGTGTGTTTCTTGAATGTGGCCCAATTAAAGTTTTAGTTTTAAGTGTTTTCCACTTTTGGTTTAGTCTTAGTCTTTGTCTTATCCCTGATATTCAGATCTAAGAGTTTTTATCTTATGCTTACATTAATAACTATCTGTGGCTGCGGAACTTAGCAGAAAACTACAAGGAAAAAAAATAACTCTGAAACTTCCATGGAATTGGGAATGCCCTTCATTCATAAATTTCTACATATCCCCTGTCACTTGCATTTTTTTATCAACCATATTTTAAAGCCTTGCATGTGAAATAATAGTCAGAAATAAATAAATAAATAAAACATTAAAAAAAAAAACAGAACAGTTTTTGAACCTTTAGAAAAAATATTTTCAATAAATAAATAAATACATAAGAAATGTTAGCATTTGTGTTTTTTGTTGAATATTATATTCGATACATCAGGCTTTTATGGCTCATATAGCATGATATAGGAGAATATGGAGCTCATACTGAAGGAGGACAATTTTTATTCATTGCAGACTACTTGTATAAAATGCATAAAAATATCAGTTATCATTTTATATCTCTCAATAATATGTCTTAGTAAGATGATATTGAAATGCTTAGTTTATGACCAAAGCTCTGTAGTTGTTATTGTGGAGGTAAAACATATAATGCAATACAAAACAAATGAAAGTTCCTGAATGTTGGATATTTGATACTCACATTTAAACATGATTTTTCTAAAGAAAAAAAAAATTATGATTGGATAATCAAGTAAAATGTCGCTTCAGTCCAGAAAGTATTCATCTGGAAATAGTACTAACAATGTAAAGGTATTCTTACCTTTACTTTAGAAAAAAAAAACAGTAAAGATTTCACAGCAAACAGACACATGAACCATAACCTGAAGGTGGACATTTGTAGAATGATACTAAAAGACCTTTTACTTGCTAAAATTTGCCAATAAGAATGTAGTACCCTCATCTCCATTTAACACTTTACACCATGTGTTAATTAATTCTGCACGAATCTGCAGGGTTTCCTCCCAAAACCAGCACACCAAATTTCAGAAGTACCTTCTTCTGGGTCTGAGCTGGACCTGATCGTGTATATTCAGTATATTCAGCTACTGTTGTGATTTGTCTTTTGCAGATCCTGCAGGAGCTTGAGTACGGCCCGTCAGTGGACTGGTGGGCTCTAGGTGTGCTGATGTATGAGATGATGGCTGGTCAGCCTCCTTTTGAAGCTGATAATGAGGACGACCTTTTTGAGTCTATTCTCCACGATGACGTCCTATATCCCGTGTGGCTCAGCAAAGAGGCCGTCAGCATTCTTAAAGCGGTACGTGTCCGGATTTACTCTTGGATCACTCTGGGAATTCCTAAGAATACATTTTGCCTGCTGATTATTACTAAAGACATAGGTTTGCGAATAATACCTCTTGCCACCTCCTTTTTGTGTGTGTGTTGCGTTTTTCCTTCACATGTCCAAGATTTACTTTGGCTGTCCTTTGCCCGTTTGCGAAGCTTTGTGGGAAAGTCAGGCTGTTTGTCTTGGATGGCATCATGTCACACTGCGATCTGTCTCACTGGCACTGTGGTCACATGACCTATGGTCACCTCAGGTCATTCTTCCACAGGATGCAGTCTTATATCATGCATATATCATCACTGATCATCCCAACTCAACATAACACATATAGACATCCTCTGGTTAACATGCTGTCAACATATGTCCTTTGCCCGTTTGCGAAGCTTTGTGGGAAAGTCAGGCTGTTTGTCTTGGACGGCATCATGTCACACTGCGATCTGTCTCACTGGCACTGTGGTCACATGACCTATGGTCACCTCAGGTCATTCTTCCACAGGATGCAGTCTTATATCATGCATATATCATCACTGATCATCCCAACTCAACATAACACATATAGACATCCTCTGGTTAACATGCTGTCAACATTATGCTTCTCTAATGTTTTCTTCTTTCTTCACTCCATTGTTTAGTTCATGACGAAGAGCCCCAGTAAGCGGTTGGGTTGCGTAGTGTCCCAAGGACTAGAGGAAGCTATTAAAGTACATCCGTTCTTCAAAGAGATTGATTGGGTACTTCTGGAACAGAGGAAGATCAAGCCGCCTTTCAAACCACGTATTGTGAGTATCATAATGTGTGGGATACTGTAGATAGTCACTCTGTTACAAAACCTAGTGCTGCCTTCTAAGACCTTCTTATGTGTAAGCTTAAACGTTTCTATATATAATCAACATCTTTAAATCAATAGTTTTATATTTCTTCATTCTTTTTATTTTGACCATCATTCGCAATGCCTCATGGGATTGAAATTATTTTCCTCATTAAAGCCATTAAGTACACAGTCTTGTATCTTGGGTTTAGGGGCGGACTTAGTGATTTGGGGGCTCTAAGCAAATTTCAGGTATGGGGCCCCAACACAATAACTATGTGTTCTTTTACGCCTAAAGCCCCGTTCACACCGCCAGCGACTTTTTCGCTGTATGTCGCTAGACTCTGTGCTGTGAAGACGCTTGTGGGCGTTCCTACTGCTGTAGCTCTAATGTTATTGGTAGACTGCACGTCTGGACATATCTGGACATATAAAATGCAATCACAAACTGTATATTGCCGGTAAAACTAAGATATCATTCTATTATGACTAGCTCTGTCGCTGTGTGTCGCTGGCGGTGTGAACGGGGCTTAACCCTTATTTTGATCGCTCACTCTCTCATAGTTTATAGTTTACCTATAATTACCTCTTCACAACTTAAGTAAATAATTAGTCAACCTGATGCTGTTCTAAAGCCATATTAGGCTTATTTTTTTCTGATCACTAAAGAAGACATGCTTGCACTTGTCCATTTAATGAATTGTAACCTTCTTCAGTCTTTTTACAAAAAGGATTCAAATGTCGTAAAATTATCCCATGCAACTCGTTCAGTATTCCAAGTGTTCTTAAGGCATACGGTAGGGTTTGGCAAGAAACAAATCGAAAATGTAATCTATTATTAAGCGAAAATCTCCAGTCGCATTCGTGCATTTGTATGAGTGAGCTGCAGATTGCGCCGGTGCGCGCATCGGAAAAGCACACAAGCAAGTCATTCACTTTAGTTCATTGCGACCTCACGACGTTCCGTTAATCAATGAAGCTGTCTGCACTGCACAATGAATCTCTTATTTACATCGTATCTACACGTTGTTCTAATGAGTGAGTGAACATTTGAGCAGTAAGTGAAACTTTGACACTCTCCAGAACACAAATATACACTGGAGCGTTTGCCAAATATATTTCGCCAATATCAGATAGGGCCCCCTGATTCCCCGGGCCCCTTACCTCGCTAATTGGTTAAGTCTGCCCCTGCTTGGGCTTTTTGTCCAAAGTTCAAATAATTTTTAGCTTAATGTTGTGATTCGCCTGGTTAGTTTGGTTCATGGCTTATAACTCTTGAAAAAAAAAACGTTCTAAAAATCTCTATAGGAAAATACTTGTGAAACCAAGACTGCTAAAAAGTGGGAGGACACCGTTGAACTCTATAAACTGTTACCTCTAACAGGGTTTTAGACCAATCAGATTTCACTGTGAGTGGGAACTAACCAGTAAGATGCCACAGAAATACAAACCAATCAAATGTCTTGTTTCCCATCTTTTGTTGCGCTGGCTAACTAGTTAGGAAAAAATTCAGCATTTTCTTTTTTTGAAGAAATAGGATATACTGTTTGACACTTTATCACGTCGTGTTTGGTTAGAACACAGTTTAACTCTGTCTCAGCACAGACATAATCATTGGCCTGCATATGCAGTTATCTAGAACATTACAGTACTTCAGCCCTCATGCTTCTTTGAAGTGTTTGTGTCACACTTCTGTTTCTGGTAGTGTGAAGAGTGGGATATCTGAGATGCTCTTGGACTCTCAGCACACATCAGACGCTGTACTTTGATACAGAGATGCATGCTGGCTGCTGCAAGTGTGTGTGGAATGCCTCTCAGAGAGTGTGAGAAGGGGCCCGCCTGTCCGCCCCATTCTCACGCCTGCTCACAAACTGATGAGAGCTCTTTGAGGGTGAGAGGGAAAGAAGCGGTTGGGAGAGTTTTTTTAATTTTTTTTAAATGCACCGATATGAGGCCGACAAAACATTAGGTATGAAATATTTAGGTTTTTTTTGTTTTGCTTTTGTTGTGTTCTGTTGTTGTTTGTTTGTTTTGGTTTTGCATTTTGTTAATGCTTTTGTTTTGGGGGTTTTGTGTGTGTGTGTGTGTGTGTGTGTGTGTGTGTTGTTTTGAAATCACTTGGACACCATTCACCAATATTATGTAAAATAAACCCCAATAAAAAGATGTCAAAAAGATTGCCAATCCATGATGTAAAAAGATGGAAGTATGTGAAAGCATGTTTGGATAGAGGCGCCTGCGGGATTTCTTCTAAGGTTATGCACACAGGGTCATTTTTTTTTTTTGCAAAATAAATAAATAAATAAATAAAAACACTGAAAAGCTAGTATATATTTTCACTGTTTTCAGTGTTTCATATATATATATATATATATATATATACATATGCTCGAAATTCAACTCTGAGAGAAGTTTTAATTTTCTGAGTATGTCTAGCATTCTATTACAAAATTCTATAAGATTTGAGGCTTTTCAGGTCAAACGATCAGCAGTGAGAGCAGTGGTCTTGAGACATGTTTTAAAACACAAAAATGGCAAATAGCAACAAAATGGTTAAAGACATCCATCAAGTGCATGTTCACATAGAAAAACAACCAAAAAAAATAAACTGCGTAGGAGGACACAAAATACTCTCTTTGTGAATGGCCACTTATTCACATGACACAGCAGTAGCTGAATTTTCTCATTTATCTCTCAGAAAGAAGTCTTTTATTTCAATTGTTAGTAGGTGAATATCCATTTCATCCAGCGCTGTTTGTTCTCTGTTTCCTTAAAAATCTTGATACTCTCTGTTTTACTGACTGACAGTCTGCTTCAGATGATTCAGAGAGAGAGAGAGTGAATGTGAAATGTTTTTGAAAGCGCATTTGGCCAATTTACTGAAAATAAAGAACCGACTCAAAAGAATGATTAATTCACAAATGATTGGCATGGCTGTTTCAGTTGACAGAAATAAGGGACACACATAATAACTGCTTAAGTATTTGCAGAGAAAGCTTTTCTCAGGTCAGTCAGAGCGTTCATGAGACGCACTGTGTTTCTACGTATCTATACAAGAATGTTTTTGTGCGCTCTTGTTCTGAAATAGCTCATTCTGCACACTTTTTTCTTCTCCATCCACAGAAAACCAAAAGGGATGTCAACAATTTTGACCAGGACTTCACCCGCGAGGAGCCAGTGCTCACCCCGGTGGAAGACGCCATTATCAAGCAGATCAACCAGGATGAGTTCAAGGGCTTCTCTTACTTCAGCGAAGAGACCCTGTCCTAATACTGAAACCTCCATCTCCTGCGCTGTGCTTGGCGCACACGAACGCTGTGAATGCCCATGAGCTGATCGTAGACCATCATTGAACAAGAATTTGATGCTTTAATTTAAAAGTAGAGAGTTAGGTGTTATAATCTTTCCTGCTGAACCCCAAAAACCGTACGTGTGTGCACAGATACTCACTCATTTGCACCGAATGAAACTGAGTCCTTTTTATTTAACGTATTTAAAACACTTAAGGGAGCTCATGTGACGTCACTGAAGCAGCTGGATAGAGCTCATAAGAAGGCCATTTCATGTTTCATTTCTCCTCCCATCGTGCAGTGTATCAGGGTAATGGTACACCTGGAGTTAACCCATTTACACTAGCACCGTTTTGAAATTCAAAAACCAAATGTAAAGAACACGTTTTGCAGATGTGATGCTTATAAACGTGTGAATTGGGAGTTTTAAGCACAGCATTGGGATCTGATCATCTGACCAGAGACAGTTATTCGGATGGTACTGGGAAGGACTCAGAACTGCCTTTCATGAGACCATCACGCCATTTCCATTTGAAACAGCAGTGTGACATATACGCAAGTCACCTAAACAAGTGTTGTGTGTGTGTGTGTGTGTGTGTGTGTGTGCGTGTGCGTGTGCGTGTGTGTGTCGTTTTTCTCATTATATTACTGGATTGTTTTGTTGCTAGGATGTGGAAATTGTTGGTTTCTCTACAATGCAACAAGACCTTTCATTATGAATGGGTCAGGACAGTAGCCAATCCTGTCTCTACAGTCTACAGTACGTACAAGTCCTGATTACCCTGATCATTAGCCTGTGAACTTTGAAAATAGACTAATCATCTACTGCATGGTTATGCCTATAATATTCTTGTGTATTATTAGACAATGAGAAACTGTTATGTGCAATATTATGTGTGTGTGTGTGTGCGTGTGTGTGTGTGTTGGTTTAGCGATTTTTTTCCCTCTCCATCTCACCTTTAATGTTCTGATTTCCACCGTTTTTTGCAGTCTGTCCGTTTTGGTTGGTAATCGTTAGGTTGTCAGGTCATGCGATATCCAGCACAGGTCCTTTATTTCAGCTGCTACAGCCTCTGTATTTCATATACTCAAGTTAGACAAGAGGCAAAATATTAAACTTCTGTGGCAAAAAAAGTAAAATACATAGAAATGATCTTCCATTCTAAATATAGCACAACTGAAGTACCCTAGAATTGCTCCTAATATGAAAGCTGTAACAGTGATGAAGGCAAGACTGGTTATATTTGTCAAGAAAATCCAATCAGTTCATTTCAGTATGAACATAAGAAATAATGAACGCATTTGTAATAAATTCAACATCTTAAACATTCCATTGCAAGGTTTTTTTTTTTGCAGACTCTTGCCAACACTGGGTTTAAATGTCAACATGAAATTGTTGCCAGATTCATCTGTAATAAAAAATAGCATTTGAAACAACTTTATCTTTCTGCTGATGCATCCAAACACCTTTATTTTGCTGTGAACACTCACTTTTCACAATCCAATCAATTCCTGTTGCAAAATATTTACTTTCCGTCCTACATTTTTTCTACATATCAGATCACCAAAGTGAAAAGTGGGTTGTGAACAGCGTCTCATGTTGACATTGAGACCTTCACTCATTTCATGCACATTTTACAGATCTGTTGCTTCATTTTGAGTTAGATTTTTTGCATAGTTTACCTTTCATTTGTTTGGACGTTTTTCTCAAAGCATGTCTGGCCTTATTTGTGCCGTTCTGAACTGGCATCTATTGGCCTGGATGGAGTCCACTAACAGGAAACTCTCACAGCTACACCTGCCAAACACCTGTGCCCTGATGAGAAATTTGCAAAGCTATTTTGGACTTCATGAGTAACTCTTTTTTTATTATTGTTTTTAAAATGACTCTACATAGGAAACACATTGACATGTTCAAGCATAAGATGAAAGCACCTCTTTGGTTAAACGTGAATCTGTGTCTCACAAAGGAATACATATTTGTACATACAGAGGTACAGTGCATATTAATATAAGTTATATAAGTGTTTTATGTCACTGGAAGTATCTTAAATGTGTATGTATTTCTTTTTTATCTTATTGTGCAGCTTCATATGTACAGTATGTCATAAGACATGTTGTTGTTGTTTTTTTGGACATCTTTGCCATTTATTCGCATTTTACTGTGTGCCAAATGTACTGTTCTCAAAGGATGTGAATGTGCATTGTTTGGTTTGTAACCTATTAAATAAGATGTCAGAAATGAACCAAACTGTTTGAAGTCTCCAAATTCATAGTACTGTAGCTGAGACAAAGTGTTTTAAAAATCTAAGTGCATACTCTGTATTTGTACAGAATGCTGGAGAAGACAGTAGTGGTTGCTTCTGATAGGCTATAATTAAACAGTAAACAAATATGCATAAATGAACTGTAGAGGACATAATGGGAAAAGCAAATAGTTAAGCATGAGAGAAATTAGAGGGTAAACTTCGGTCAAAAATAAGGGTCATCATGACCAAAACAAAGAGTGAAGGATTAGTCCTGTCACATGTGACCTTCTACTCTAGATGGAGGCTATAGATGTCCAAGGACATGAGGAAATGCATAAGCTTGTCAGTTTGGGAATGCTCAGAACTTTCTGTAAGTTGAATAATCTGAGTGCAATAGTTCTAACTGCAGTGAAAGTTGTATTGTGCTGTATTTTGAGAATAAATGACTGATTGAGGATAGGACAAACATAGTTGTTTACACACACACAATGGGAAAATATAATAGTCTTTTTAAATATATATAAAATGAGCAGGGAAACATCAAGTCGTCTGTGAATTGAGAGCAGATCGTCCTAGATGGTACATTTAAAATCTACAAACTACATACACTACCAGTCAAAAGTTTAGGGTTAGTCCTTAGAAAAGAAAAGAATACTTTAATTCAACAAAGCTGCATTCAACTGATCAAAAGTGACAGTAAAACATTTATAATGTTACAAACGCTTTCCATTTCAAATAAATACTGTTCTTTTAAACTGTCATCAAAGAATACAAAAAAAAAAGTGTCATGATTTCCACATTATTAATCATGAAAAACTTTTCAACACTTACAATAATAAGAACCATTGTTAATAACTGAGCACCAAATCAGCATATTAGAATGATTTATGAAGGATCATGTGACACTGAAGACTGGAATAATGACTGCTTAAAATTCTATTTTAAAATGTATTAAAACAGACAACAGTTATTTTAAACTGTAATACTATTTCACAAATACAGTTTTTTTATTTTATTTATGTATTTATTTACTTATTTATTTATGTGTGTGAGCATAATAGACTTCGTTCAAAAATTGAAAAAAAATCGTAATTCTTCCAAATGTTTGACGGTAGTGTATTTATGCATATGCATATATTATCTATAACCTTGTTCCGCTTAGATTCACTTTCAGGCTGGAACAGACATATTTTGCATATTTTCGCCCCAAATGAAAGTCTGGAGCGATGTGTTGACTCGACGCTAGTTGCTGAAAGTCAGAGCCAGTCTGTAGACTGATATCTGCAGATATTTTTACTGTCTTTATGTTTGCGATCCCAGAGACACTAAAAACAATCATTTAAAAATGAACCTATTATTATTTTCTATTCTAATTATTTTAATATGTTCCTCTGACCCAGTGAAAGCTTTCCATTTCAAATAAATACTGTTCTTTTAAACTGTCATCAAAGAATACAAAAAAAAAGTGTCATGATTTCCACATTATTAATCATGAAAAACTTTTCAACACTTACAATAATAAGAACCATTATTAATAACTGAGCACCAAATCAGCATATTAGAATGATTTATGAAGGATCATGTGACACTGAAGACTGGAAAAATGACTGCTTAAAATTCTATTTTAAAATGTATTAAAACAGACAACAGTTATTTTAAACTGTAATAATATTTCACAAACACTGTTTTTTTATTTTATTTATGTATTTATTTACTTATTTATTTATGTGTGTGGGCATAATAGACTTCATTCAAAAACTGAAAAAAATCGTAATTCTTCCAAATGTTTGACGGTAGTGTATTTATGCATATGCATATATTATCTTTAACCTTGTTCTGCTCAGATTCACTTTCAGGCTGGAACAGACATATTTTGCATATTTTCGCCCCAAATGAAAGTCTGGGGCGATGTGTTGACTCGACGCTAGTTGCTGAAAGTCAGAGCCAGTCTGTAGACTGATATCTGCAGATATTTGTACTGTCTTTATGTTTGCGATCCCAGAGACACTAAAAACAATCATTTAAAAATGAACCTATTATTATTTTCTATTCTAATTATTTTAATATGTTCCTCTGACCCAGTGAAAACACATTAAAAAAGCTACATGTGTTTGTCAAAAATATGAGTTTTAGTTTTAAGTTAAGTTGAGTTTAGTTTAAGTTTTAAAATAGTGATGCTGTTACATTAAGGGTCAAAATACAGAAAAATACTATAAAACAATTTTTCTTCTCAGGAAAGCCATACATTGTCCTAAATAACTAATGTAACAATGATTCTTAAATTATTAAATGTGCCCCTCATCCCTGAATGTTTTTCATTAGCCTTTTAGTTTACTTGTCCACACAGTCCTGCTCCAGAGAGACATGCCATCTCGCAGAGTTTATAGTTACAATTATGCTGTTGTCATTTTCAACTAAATCACGATACTTAACTGATTAAAATGAGTTTGATGCTAGCTTTTGGAAAAGGTAGAGCTGCAGGAGCAAAGCACATAATGCAGAATGTCCTGACGGTGGGCGGTTCCCAATGGCGGCTCCAGCCAATCAGAGAGCTGTAATTGATTGCTCAGCTGTCAAGCGCCCTTCAGTGTGGCGCCGCGGTCTGTGAACTTCACTGACCGCAAAACAAGCGAGAAACTCCCTCACCGCGCTCGGATTTTACAAAAGTGGGAGACTGTACGATCCTTGGCAGTGTTCTGAGACTGTACAGTCACTTTTGCCCTGCGGGTGGACTTTACTGCATTTTCACGATCAATTGTGCGCACTTTTCTGTTATTTAAGGCGAGCGTTTTTGGTGGTTTGGAGCGCGTCCTGTTTGCACAGAGATCGGACTGCGAGGGGACAGAGAGATGACAGCTGAGAAAGAGAAGAAGAGGTGAGTTCAGCGGGCTGTTGTGAGTTGTAAACACTGCAGCTGTTGCGCGCAGGTCGGGTTTGTGGAGCTGCAGCAACAAGTGAATCTCTGTGTGAAACTCAAACGCGCTGCTGCAGCTCAAAGCCGGAGACACTCGCTGTTTAACGTTGCTTCACTGCGCACAACGACAAGAAAGAAAGAAAGTGTCGTTAGATTTTTTTTATTGTTTTCATGTTAAGTCTGAGGATGTTGCTTCTTGTTAATATTATGCACGCTACTTTAAATTCGAAAACATTTAACGAATCAAGTAATAGGTGCAAGCTTTCATAGTAGGCCTAATAATAATTTGTAGTAAAGTGAGAGAACGTCATTACATTTTATTTTAATTATTTATATTTATATTTTATTTATTTTTAAATAAATAAATATAGTCCTGTGCTGAAATCTGCTGAATGTGACTCTTTAAAATGCAATAGAATTCTGTAGAAAATATTCAGTATTTTATTATATATGTGACTGCTTTTATTATTAGTAGTAGTAGTAGTAGTAGTAGTATCTGAAATTATTAATAGCACTATATTGTTAAAAAAAAAAATTTAAACAAAATTTAGGTTTTTCCCAATTTAACTTTGAGTCAAACCAAAAATTATTAGTAGTAGTAGTAGTAGTATCTGAAATTATTAATAGCACTATATTGTTAAAAAAAAAAATTAAAACAAAATTTAGGTTTTTCCCAATTTAACTTTGAGTCAAACCAAAAATTATTCAGACACCAGATATAATTTTTGATATTTTTTTACTAGTGGGTGCAGGAGACTATAGTTAATTTATGTAAGTAAGGATATCAAAATAAAGTAAACTGTAACATGTTATAACCAAAAATTATTCAGACACTTTGACCTGACCATGTTTTGCTGACATTATCAAGATGAATTTGTTCTGACAGTTTAACTCTGAATTCTTGTCATATTTTATTACCATTTTCTAAACTATAGCAAATAAACTGTGATAATGTGTGAAATGTTGAAGGTGTCTGAATACATTTTGGTTTGACTGTAATTCGTGTCATGTCTACTCAGTTTTTTGAGTTTTAATTAAATTGTCTTTATCACTAACTCAGAGTGGTTGAAACTGCAGTTTGTGACTTTGGCACGACTTTGATTTTTGAGGGAGCAATTTTTAAGGTAGCACCACATTTAAGGTTATTTAAAGGTTAACGCTATAGTGGGTTAAAGTTAATTACAGTGAACAAGATATAGATAGTTTTTAGTGAAGCATATACTTATTAGACAGCATGAAAATGAGCTGTACATTGTCATGCTTTTGTGGAAACATCATGCATATCTGTGAAGATTAAAGACCACCAGACCAGAGTGCTAATGAGAGAATAATAGAGAATGTGTTTGTGTGCGTGTGTAACGGCTCTGAGAACGCCTTGAAGTCTGCTTCATCCTCGTGACAGTTCTTCCCTAACAAGCTTTCTGCCTATTATATGATGAATCTCAGAGTGGCAGAACATAACCAAACATTGCTACTAAACTCAAATGAAGAGAATGCATCTCTACAGGAGCGGGACTGATTCAGAAAGGGTGCAAAACCTTTAACCTCAAGACACAAGACTGTGATCCTGCCTGGCACTGATCACAGACTGTGAGACAAGTAAGACAAAACACAAGGGGCCAAGAAGAGATGTGTTTATGTGTATAGGTGTGTGTATGTATGTATTTGTTTGTCTGTCTAAACTGAACCCATATGTTTTGGTGGTTTACTGTTGGTAGGAGAGCGATTAGATCAACCCTGACATGTTTTATATATATTTTGGCATGTTTGTATTCATGCATGTTGTGTAAGATAGCCAGAGTCCCCTTTCTTGGCCCCATGTGTATATCATGAGTTTTAGTAGAATATAGTGATGCACTGAAATGATTTTTTACAGAAACACCAAAACTGTTTTCATTTAGCTGAAAACCAAAACTGAAAATAGTGTTTATTTACTAATCAATCAATCACATTTATTCAATAATAAACACTCTAATAAAAACTAGGGCTGCACGATAAATCGCATGCGATATTTAACGTGCATCTTGTCAGTAAAGCCATTCTGTAATCAGCGGTAAAAGATTTACTGCTGATTAAAGAACCGGCTTTACTGACAAGATGCGCGTTAAATATCGCATGCGATTTATCGTGCAGCCCTAATAAAAACAATGTGCCATTAGAGAAGTGTTTATTTAATATCACCATTTCAGTCAATAATTTTGGTCCCCCAAAACTGTTCAAATCGGTTCAGTTGCCGAAAAGTTGGTGCGTCACTTATATGGTTTATTAGAACTGCAATTATGTGCTGTTTGTAACTACAAGACATAACAGAATTAAGCAAGCCTCTAATGAAGTCATTGGTAAAATAATCATCAAGGCTTTGACTGAGCATTAAGCATTTGTGTGCTTGTCAGTAGGACTGAATTGATTGCTGTAGCGTTATAATTCATGCTGGGTGGCTTTTTGATAGTCGTTCCGGGCACTTTTTGCTCATCATTTGTCTTAGTTCTCCATTACGTCACCCTGAATCATCAGGCTTTGTCTGCGGTTCATTCTGTGCCTGAGTTAGAAAACGGTGCTGTGGCTCATTTACGAAGAGAAAGGCTGTGTTTTTTTGATGGGGCTCTGTTAACTCCCTCAGGTTGAGAGCTGGCCATTAGCCTGATCTAACTTGTGCACTGTTTCAGAGCATTGTTCTGTGCTCTGCTGCAAAATAACCGCTTATCTGCACCTAGTTACCTAACCTGAGATTGGAGTCTAAGAGCCAGATTTATTAAACAGGGCTAATTAGTAATTGCCCTAATAGCCCTAATTTTTTACTGCATGTCTTTAGTAAAACCTGACCAATAGAGGGAGTTCCTGGCATAAGCTGTTAGTAAATCTGTCCCTAAAACTCTTCTTTCAAAAAAGAAAGTTGCTGATCTTGGTATTGACAACTCAGTGTTGTCATGAATGTTGCAAAAACAAGTCATTTCCAACCCAGGCTCATTGGGAAAATGTGTCTATGACGACATTTCTGCAAAATAATGTACCACCTACACTAAACTCCACCTTAAACTTGCTAGTGTGAGCAAAAGCAAACATAAAATAAAATAAAAATAAACACTTATTTGCTGAAGTAACCATGTCATTTTAGCTTGCTTCTATCCTGACTCATGTTTCACGGGACTCGTACACGCGCGCTTTGCATCAGTGCTGTACCAGGTGAGCTACCAAGCAAGTTTACAACATTGGAAATGCCGTATAGATCTGATTATGTGATGCAAACATCAAAATATATTTGTTTACAAATCATTCACTGTAGTAAATGTGTTTTAAGGTTATAACTTTATATTGTGCAAGAAGCTGAGTCTTTATTATCTGCCCTTGTCATCATAATTTGTATAAAAGGGAATAAAAGTTGTGTTTTACTTCCACTAGTGTTCAGTTCTGTGGAAACTACATGTATTAGTACGTTTTTGGAGTTTCGCTGAAGTGTAGATAGAGGCAAATTTTTCCAAGAGCCTCAAAAGTTGGTTGTGTTCCATCACTTAGCTACAGCTTCTGTCAGCCTCTGGGCATCGCTTGAGCGTTTTGCAAGAATTTTAGCTTGTACTATGTGAGCATTCTAAATGAATTCATCTTAGAAATTTGGTGTTTATAACATCCTTTGTGAATGCAAAATGCTTGCAATTCTCATAAAACCAAATATATTTAGCCGTTACAGGTAGGGTTGTTAAAAGTACCGGCTTCGCTACCAGTCGGTACTGAAATGTAAAAAATGTGACGATACCAGCATTTCCCGCTGACAACCCTGGTTAGCATAATAGGCCTTTTTCACGGTCCGCGTTCGAAAACCGGAAGCTTCGAGTAGTTGTGTAAAATAACTTCCGCTGTAGCCTGCATGAATGGCAATGCCCATAGCACGGGGTTGTTGTGATTTATTACTGAGCAATTCATCACAGATGTTTCATCAAAACATGTTAACCACAGTTTTCAAACATTAATCGGGTATGACGAATTAAGGGAAATACTGTAATAATGTTAGCATTGCTTTTGTGCACTTACTTTACGTTCCGATAGGCTACAATCGTCATATTAGATTAAATTGGAGTTGTTAAAATATATTCATATTTTTCATCCCAGAGTTATTAAAAAATAACTGGTTTTACCATCTTAAACGTGACATATCCTCCGGGTTTGAGCGCAGTGATTGAATAGCATTATACTGTAGATAAAATTGGAGATGAATCATAGTAAACACTGTGCAATAATAAAAACAACAATATATATATTATATATAAATATTCCGAGTATTTCTCCAGCAGTAACGAGCAGCCTGCGGGCAGATTCTCTCATCAGTTATCTCATGACTGTCGCGACACCGACAACGCTTACAAACGACTCGCTTACATAATGTTTCACATTAAAATGGAAGATCACACATATGGTAGGGTATCGTCTAATTTTAAATAGATTCTTTTAACTGAGAATCTGCACGGCTGCTTATTGCTGGATAAATACTAATGTTTGAAAACTGTGGTTAACATGTTTTGATGAAACATCTACAGTATAATGAATTGTTCATTAATAAATCACAACAATCCCATGCTATGGGCATTGCCATTCATGCAGGCTACAGCGGAAGTTATTTTACACAACTACTCGAAGCTTCCGGTTTTCGAACGCGGACCGTGAAAAAGGCCTATAAACAAATGGCTCACAAATAAACTAAGACACACTTGACACTCTTCCTGCTGTCACCAAATACATCAGCTTAAGTCATACCACATTCAAAAATGTGGGATTTTTTTTTTAAACAATTGGTATGTTTTTGAATAAAGTCTCTTATGCTGAACAAGGCTGCATTTATTTGATATAAAATACAGTAAAAGCTATTCTGTGAAATGTTATTGCAATCTACAAAAACAGTTTTCCATTTTAATATATTGTAAAATGTAATTCATTCCTGTGAAGCAAAGCTGGTTTTTCAGCATCATTAC